TAATTAAATATACAACCAGAACCAATAAAACTTCTTAAAGAAAACATAGGAAAAACACTTCAGGAAGTATTACTGGACACAGACTTCATGAATATGACCCCCAAAGCACAGGCAACCAAAGGAAAAATAAACAAATGGGATTATATCAAACTAAAAAGCTTCTGCACAGCAAAAGAAACAATTAACAGAGTTAAAAGACAACCAATAGAGTAGGAGAAAATATTTGTAAAATATACATCTGACAAAGGATTAATATCCAGAATATACAAGGAACTCAAGCAACTTTACAAGAAAAAAATAAAGTAACCCATGGAAAAAATGGGCAACAGAGCTAAATAGGCATTTCTCAGAGGAAGATATATGAATGGCCAACAGACATTTGAAAAAATGCTCCACATCTCTCAGCATTTGGGAAATGCACATCAAAACCACACTGAGATACCATTTCTCCCCAGTTAGCATGGCTAATATCCAAAAGACTGTGAATGATAAATGCTGGTGTGGTTGATGATAAAAAGGAACTCTCATACGTTGTTGGTGGGACTGAAAAATGGTACAACCTCTATAGAAAATGGTATGGAGGTTCCTCAAACAATTGCAGATAGATTTACCATATGACCCAGCGATCCCTCTGCTGGGAATATACCCGGAGGAATGGAAATCATCAAGTCGAAGGCATTCCTGTTCCCCAATGTTCAGTGCAACACTCTTTACAATAGCCAAGAGTTGGAACCAGCCCAAATGTCCATCATCACATGAGTAGATATGGAAAATGTGGTATATCAACATAATGGAATACTAGTCAACTATAAAAAAGAATGAAATACTGTCATTTACAATGACATGGATGGACCTAGAGAGAATTATATTAAGTGAAACAAGTCAGGCACAGAAAGAAAAATATCACATGTTCTCACTTATTTGTGGGAGCTAAAAATAAATAAATAAATACACAAAAAAAACCTGGGGTGGGGGAGGGAAGAAGATACAAAAATTACAATTCCTTGCAGTTGATATGACAAGCGAACAGATTTGAGGTTTCTGGGTGGGAGGGAGAGAAAGAGGAGGGGAGGAGGTTTCCGTAATTGGCCACAATAATCAACCACATTGTATCTTGGAAAATAAAAAAATGTTTGTGCCCTCAACAGAAACTGAATCTGCCAGAGCCTTGATCTTGGACTTCCTAGCTGCCAGATCTGTGAGAAAGAAATGTTTGTTGTTATTCGCCACCCAGTTTATGATATTTTGTTATAGCAGCCTCAGCCTGAACAAACTATGATGTTCATTTTTCTTAATGCTTCATACCACTCCATTTAATAGATATAATAGTAATTACTTCATCTGCCCTATTTTGGGGTAATTTATGTAATTTTTTCTCTACCTATATACAATGTTGCAGACCACATACATTTTTTTTGTTAACTCATATATATACTTATAGGATATATTCTAAAAATTGAAATTGCATCAAATGTTATGTTCTTTTGCTAGAAATGGACAAATTGTTCTATCAAAATAAAACATACTCTATCTTCAATGTGTTAGCATTTTTTGTTCCATATGCTTGGAGCCTTAGTAAATGGCCTCTTTTAATGTTTGCTACTGCCAATTAAAAAAAAATGTTGAAAAGGTTTTTAACTAAAAAAAAATAGATCTTTACTATGTATCTATCTTTATAATTGCACGAGTCATATGAAATATATTTATACTGAAGATAATAAAATATCATAAATTTAAAATTTGCTTATCCAGGGAAAATCTTGGGAAGACAAAAAAAATTATCATTTAACTGATTTTTATGCAATCAAATTAATCACAAATGAAGTTAATTTCTTCATGTAGCGTCAACTAAAAATCATAGGTAAAAAATATTTTCATAATGCTAAATACTATTTGAAGAGATGAAAAATAAGGATTTTAGTTTCATATATCCATATTTATTCAAGGTCTGCCAGTTTATATTTTCAATTTTCTAGACCCTCTGCCTTCCTACTTTTTGTCATCCTTGCTTATTATCCCATTTAAAGAAAATTTGTCAAATAACACCATCTCAAAACAAAATTAATTCAATTTTCATTATACATGTATAGGTATAAAACATGTTTGCCTTTAGTAGTTTTATTTTCTCTGGGCTGAATGGTTTTCTGTAATTCAGAACCAGAATAAGTTGCAAATTTTGAAAAAAGTGAGGCTTGGCCTCTTAAGGTAAAAGCATTTCACCTTAGGTGAGCCTTTTTTTTTCTTAACTAAAACATAATTGATTATACATATTTGTTGGGTACAGAGTTGACTATCAATACTTGTGTACAATATGTGAGGATAAAATCAGAATAATGAGCATATTAATCATTACAAAATATAATTATTCTTTGTGTCCATTAACCAATTTCTCCCTAACTCCCCTCCTCCTTTCCCTTTCCCACCTCTAGTAACCACAGTTCTGTTTTCTCCCTCTGATAGTTCAGCATATTATTGTGGTCTTTCTTTCTTTTCCTTTTTCTTCCTTTCCCTCTCTCCCTCCCTCCCTCCCTCCCTCCCTCCACAGAAATTTATTTCTCATACTTCTAGAGTCTGGGAAGTCCAGGATCAGGCACCAGCAGATTCAGTGTCTGGTAAGAGTCTTCTTGGTTGATTCAGTGACTACCCATTTTATTTCTGGAGCCAAACTGCCCCTCAGAATATACTCCTAATGGCATTTCTACCAGCCCTACTTAACATTAATACTTTAAGGAAATGCAGGTCAAAAACTATCTTAAAGCTGATATCATCTCCAAAGAATAATCAATATCAGCACAGAAGTATTTTCCCTCTCTGCCTGGCTTGTTTCACTTAAGATAATTTTCTCCAAGCTCATCCACGTTGTTGCATGTAGCAAAATTCCATTCTTTTTCATCGCTGATTAGTATTCCAATGCATATTCCACCCACATTTTCCTTATCCAGTAGTCCATCAATGGGCATTTAGGATGGTTTTAAAAGTTGGCTATCGTAAATAGAGCTGTGATAAATGGGAGTGCAGGTATCCATTTGGCATGGTGATTTCCATTCCTTTAGCTATATACCCAGAAGTGGGATGGCTGGATTGTATGGTAGTTCTATCTGTAGTTGTGTGAGAAACCTCCATACTGTTTTTCATAGTGGCTGTACAAATTTATAGTCCCACCAACAGTGTAGAAGAGTTGCCCTTTCTCCACATCCCTGTCAGCATTTGTTACTCTCTCTAATTTTGTTGTTGTTGGTGGTGGTGGTTGGCCAGTGCTATTCTTTGTCTTTTTGATAATAGACAGTCCAACTGGGGTGAGACGATACCTTAATGTAGTTTTGATTTGTATTTCCCTGACAAATAGTCATGTTGAGCATTTTCTTGTGTACGTATCAGCCATTTGTATGTCTTCCTTTGACAATGTCTATTCAACTCCTTTGCCTATTTTTTAATTGTATTATTTGTGTATTTTTACTGTTAAGTTGTTTGAGTTCCTCATATATTCTGGATAATAAACCCTTGTCAGATGTATAGTTTGCAAATATTTTTTCCCATTCTGTAGGCCGTCTTTTCACTCTGTTGATTGTTTCCTTTGCTGTGCAGAACCTTTTTATTTTTATATAATTCTGGTTGTTTATTCTTTTGTTGTCTGTGCTTTTGAGACCTTATTCATAAAGTCTTTGCCCAGTCCTACATCTGGAAATGGTTTCCCTATGTTTTCTTCTTGGGGTTTTATAATTTCAGGTCTTACAAAATATAAAGCCAGAGGCCTTACAGTACCTGACTTCAAATTATACTACAAAGTTGTAGTAACCAAAAGAGCATGATACTGGAGTAAAAACAGACACACAGACTAATGGAACAAAACAGGGTACCCAGAAATCAATCCACATACTTACAGCCAACTGATTTACAACAGGCACCAAGAACATGTACTGGGGAAAGGACAGCCTCTTCAATAAATGGTGCTGGGAAAACTAGATATACATGCATAGAAGAATGAAACTAGACCCGTACCCCCGCCATATGCCAGGATCAACTCAAAATGGAATACTTTAGGTGATTCTGTAAGTTTCATGGAGAGGGCATAAATCTGATCCTTCTTGAGTAGTAATCAAATTAAAAGGTAATTGGGCTGAAAAACATATTTAATTGTAGTTTAATACAATATCAGTACTGTCCATGTGGGAGGGGGCAGAAACTATATATGCATCTTTGACATGCCAACTTATTTTTAAATGTTTATAGAATGACTCCCAACTATGAAACAATACCTTGTTTTTCTTTGTCATAAAGCTAAGATAGGAGTTTTCTAGCATTATATTTACATACATGAATGAAAGTATTTTTTCTGTTAACCACAAAAAAACCAACCAACCATGCTAAGAAATTGTAAATCTAAATATTGGTCAGAGTAGACGAGAATTTGTGAATAAAGAAATGGAAAAAAATGAAGAGTTTAGCACATGGATAAGCTAATACTTTTTTTTAAACTTAAACCATGTACATGTCTTGGTATCAAGGTATTTGTGGTTTTATACTAGACAACACCTTTCTACTTTGACAGAGAAACATATGAACCTTTAGTGAAAATTAAAATGAAATTACTAGCCAAAAGTAATCTATATCTGTATGACTTCATTTTAATAGGTTGCAAAGATTTCATGTGACAATGTTGAAGGTGACCCTGTGCTCACAGAAAGCAGTGATGGTTGAGAAATTTCCCCATACTTTCATGTTCTGAGAAATTGTTAACCTCAAACCATCCTGCTCTTAAATATCTGATATAAGATCCACCTCCCAGCCTTTTTCAATGACTCAGATAAGACTGTGCCATCTTTATCCTTCCTCATGAGACCTATTAGACTCACTGATGACCTCTTTGTTTATCTGCTTCCATAAATCCCAGATTTCCCTGCTTTTCTTTGAGATTTTCTTTATTAATTAATGCTCTGTCTATTGCAATAGACTGAATAAAATCATCTCCTTAATTTTCTGGTACATTTTGTCTTTCATAGGTTGATAATGTGACTCGAATAGGATTGGGTCTTCCTTCAGATCTCCATTTACTTCAACCAAGTAAAAAGGCCTTGCAAAGACTTTGTACTCTGTTCCTTACTGGAGATCTGAGACCCACAATGAGTTTGGCTCCTATTCTTGTGCTCCAGGCTCTTGTCCATGGTAAGAATTTAATTTTGATTCCTTTTGACTACTTGCTTGATTTTTGGTGGTAGATTCCTTTGGTTTCCTGGTCTAATGATCTGATGATCTCTGCAGATGAACTAATGGTTTATAAAGAGCTTGTCTGTGTTGGGTGAAAGATTACAAACAAACCTGGTTTCTCAGTCTTTTTGTTTGTTTGTCTGTTTTGAGTCCAAATCAATGAGAAATGTCATGTCCACTGGGAAGTACATACCTATAGTGGTAAGGTTTATCTTTCTATGTTTATCTGACACATGACTAAAATTTTAGAATACAAGCTATGAGCTTTCTCTTTGACTGTGTTTGTATGTATGTATGTTTATATACCTATAAATCATATAATTTACCTCTCATAGCATAAGTGTGCAATATTTTCCTTTTTCCAGATGTATTACTTTCCTATTTCCTATTTATTACTAATAAATAAGTGAATGAATAAATAAATAAGTCTGCAAAATATTTTAAATTAAAGGAACTCACAGTTATTGGCTTATAGAAATTTAAAATCCCACTTATAAGTTTAGAATATTCCTAAAATTCCCAGAAAATAAGGAGATATATCTCCCAAAACTTTCAACGTGCTTAATTCAAAAAGTTGTTTTTATAGAAATCAACTGACAAATGTGTTAAGAATTTAGATTTACACAGTTGAGGTAAATCTTTGGTAATTGAGACTAGCTTGATGTTGTTTAATGAAAAGTATTATCTTCTCTGATTTATCACAGTTAAGTATAATATAGTTATATATTCTTATTTCGCTAGGAAATGCTTTTCCTGAAATTATACAGATTTATTGATCAAATATGCTAGCATTACTTCTACTATCTGCTTAAGGTCATGAAAAATGTAAATTTGTGTTTAAACAAGTCAAATAACTATTTTGACAACCTTTGTTTCAGTAGCAATTATGTTTTTTAGTATGTCGTCTTGAACATAATTTCCATGAGCATTAGGTAACTTAAAGTCTTGGATTGATGCTAAATCGAGTTAACTAATAAATATTCATTAGATACCTAGATCATTTGTACATAAGGTAGAATATTGATACATAGATTAATAAATTTAATGTACCTTTGCTTTTTATTTTTTATGCCACAAACAGTTTATAGATATTTTGACTTGCTAATAAACATGTTCATTTTTGCCACTTTGACGAGTTATAGGATAAGTACATATATGGATATAGGAAAATGTAGGAGGTTTTGGAAAGGAAATTTTATCTGCTGTCATCAAAGCTGGCTAAGATTTGATGACTTTCTAAATATAGGATACTGAAAAGAGCTTTAGCATCAGATATTATACTAATGCAAAGCTAGAATTTGCTTTTCTTTCCTTTACAATGACACAGTTTTCTCAGATTATTGATCTGCTCTTAATAAGAGGTTGTAAAAGGTTATTTTTTACTTCTGTGTAATCTATCTAGATAGCAACGATTCTGTGTCTTGTCAAGATAACTTTTATGGTTTGTGTTGACTTTATTATATTCTTGATGTTTTACGAAAGAAAGGTTTCGCATTTAGGAAAGAACTAAGGTCTTTACCTCCCATATTACTTTTTAAAAACTTTTATTATCACTTTGGTAAATAGACATCCAAGTATTTTTTCTTAGTAACCCATGATCCCACCTTAAACAAGCGTTCAGAACTCCTGACAATTTTTAATATTTTGCCTTCCTAAAATCAAATCTTAACTGATGTTTTTTACAGATCCAATTGTCTTTCTATGGACCCCTGGAAAATCAGAAAAGATCTGTTTTTTCACCTTATAAAAAGAAAAATGCTTGAAATAATTAAGTTTATTTGATATGCTACTGTTAGTGAGTTGATGGGAAACTTCAAATCAGAAGAAATGCTTAGCTTTCCTTAGTTTAAATATGTACTGGTAAAGTGTCATTAAATATGAATATTTCAGAAAATATATGCAGAATGGGAAGTTTCTAGAGAATTATCAATGCCCTCACTGTCCATTATATATTTCTATTTATCAGAATGCTGGTACTGCTTTGCCTGCATTAGATGATAGGACGTAATTGGAAATATTCGTAATGCAATCAAGGCCTTGCTTAGAATGTCATATTTTTTTTTTTTTGTCTTTTTTTCGTGACTGGTAAGGGGATCGCAACCCTTGGTGTGGTCTCGCCCACACCGCGCTCAGCCAGCGAGCGCACGCACCGGCCAGTCCTATATAGGATCCGAACCCGCAGCGGGAGCGTTGCTACGCTCCCAGCGCCGCACTCTCCCGAGTGCGCCACAGGCTCAGCCCCAGAATGTCATATTTGAGAATGAAATTTGTATAATTAAATATGACCAGAAACTTTTGATGAACTATGGTTGACTTTATGGAGTCAATACTACCTACAAAGCCCTCTTGGGAAAACTGGCCTGCTACCTGGCTTACAGAGTCCTCAGACTTACAGGTGAATAAAGAGGGTTGCTTCCTAGCAGGCCCTGAAAAGAAGATATTTTGAGGAACTCAAGAAAAGGAAAAATCACCCAAAACTATAATTACTGCAAGTGGAATCTTATGGTGAGTTCTTGGCCTGACTTCTCTGCTTCAAGGGGCTTTCTTTTAAAAGTACAATCTGAGAGAGTAACTGGTTACTAGAGATGGGAAAGGGGAAGGGGAAGGGAGGAAAGTGAGAGATTGGTTAATGGACACAAAATTATGGCTAGATAGGAAAAATAAATTCAATTGATGTACAGTCGAGTTAGGCATCTATAATTAACAATGATTTACTGCATGTCATCAAATGGCTAGAAGAGTGGAGATCAAATGTTCACATCACAAAGAAATGATTAAGTTTTATAGTGATGAATATTCTAATCACCGTGATTTGATCATTCATACATTGTATACATGTATGGAAATATAACTCTGTATGTGTAATTATATGTAATTAATACTTTTCATAAAGAAAAAAAATATCTGAGGGTCTTTAAAAAGATTTCTAGGAAGGAAAAAATTTAAGAAGCTCTATATGATAAATGATCATTCTTGCTGCACCTCTTTAAATATTTATGCCAAATTTAATGAGACCCTTCTTATTTTGTGATTAAGAATAGTATTTCTTTGACATTATTTTTGATCAAAAGGGTGGAGATTATCGAGAGAAATTTTGTATTTCAATTGGAAACTATTCTTTATCTGAGGAATACCCTTTTGGATAAACAAATTCTTATTCATTGTCTTTGAGCTATTTTGCACCTCTTTGTAAATTACAGGTGACTGATGGATACTCAAACTGTTTTGCATGGTGGAGATTTTATTGACTTCTCTCATTGTGGAAAACCCAGTTTTGGTATCTATCTGAAAATTGGACTGGATTCTATAATCGTGCCCAAATTGTCAAACCTTACCAGATTTTTGATTCTTCATGTTTCCTTCAATATCTGCTTACAATCCTCCAAACTGTCTCTATTATTTTCAAATTTTCTCCTTCCCACCTGACTTGGAGTCACTGAGAACTAAAACCTGTCTACCTAGATCCTTAACGGGACTCTAGGTTGTCTTGCAGCTGGCCTTTTCCCCAAGATCTGAACTCCTGTCAGCTGAAGCCCAGTGACTTTCTATAAACTTTGAAAGACTTCACCACAGCAGACTATGCATTGGCTGAAATTTTCCTTGGACAGGCTAATGTCTGGACCACTAAGGAAGTGCAGCAAAATGCTTGGGTCATGCATGACTTTATGTGGGAGGTAATGACTGTTGACAACATCACTAAGAAAATCAACATTCTAGTTGAGAGTTTCAAGAAACTCCGTGAGGGGTGAGCCATAACCGAAAGAATTTCCTCCACTGATCTCTTGAAGTCCACCAGATCACTTACTTTCAGGATTCAATTTCTGGCTCTTTACTTTAATGCAACCATTTGTATATTTAACTTTTTTCGTTTTAAACAAACTTCTGCCTGATATTCAGAACCCTAGAACAATCAAACTTTGCCACTAACTCTTACGAGATTTTTAAACTCTTTTGAGTAAGCTATTTTGCTAAATATTTGGGGAAAATGGGGAGAGAGTAAAACAGAATGTAGAAGAGGAAATAAATTCAAATGGAATATTAAAAATTATGGTGCCAAAATTTGTTCATGATCCTCTTCCTGGAAAATCCCTCACTCTGCTCAGTGCTCCCTGCTGTGTCATTGTGGGCATTCTGTTAGGATAACTGTCGTCTGGGCCGGCCCGGTGGTGCACTGGAGAAGTGCGCCGCTTGGAACCGGCGGCGCTCCCACCGAGGGTTCGGATCCCATGTGGAGACCGGTTCCCGCTCACTGGCTGAGCGTGGTGTGGGCGCAGCACCGAGGGTTGCGATCTCTTTGCCGGTCCCCGGTACGGGCGCGACACCGAGGGTTGCAATTCCGTTACCGGACAGTAAAAAAGACAAAAAGGAAAAAAAAAAAAGGATAACTGTCATCCCTCCCTCTTCTGCTTTCAGATCTTAGGTCTTCTCAAACCTCTGTCACTTAATTTTTCAGAATTGTGAAATATTACAAACATACAGAAAAAAATAGTGTTCAAAGATAACTTTTAGAAAAGGTAAAATCATGACTCTCATACAGTTATAAAAGTGAACAAATATTAAAGAATGTATTTTCCACATTATACTATGAGGGAACAAGGCAGATGTTATAAACAGTTCAAAGGAAAAGTCAAATTAGTATGAATTTATATGTAGTAATTTTGAGGTGAATTGCAAATGAAGACAAAACTGGTTTTTATTTTGGGGTATGAGAGAGGAAGTCAATTAAATCTCTACCAGACAGGAAGTTTAATAGATTGTCGAGATTTAGTGTGACAATATTGACCTTCATTCAGCCATGTATCTATCAGTTATCTATACAGCTTATAAAGAAGTACAGAACAGCTCAAAGACAATGAGCAGAAGTAGAATCCAATAACTAAGAAGAGCGTACGATAGAAAATGTGTAGTTTTTCATTGAAATACATTTTTTTTCTATGATAAACATGCATGTAACCCAT